CATCACCTCCGATAAGATCCCTTGCCGCTGCAAATCTGGCTTTCATTGTATTACTGTACTTAAGCTGTTTTGCTTCCACCACTTCCTTGTACTTATTCTGAAAGAAACTATGTGTTCTTGACAAGATCTGCGAATTTTGTAAATTATTGATACCTTGATATTTTCATCCTGTCTTTCCAAAATAACGTCGAGCTTCTTCTTTTTGTCGGAGCTATAATCGCATAAATATTTCGATTAAAATATATCATTTAATGTAAGTTTGCATGCTCTCTAATCTTCTCAGTAAGAAAACGGAATCTGTTAACAAATCAATTTTTCATTAATCGCTACCGGTTTTTCAGTTGACCATAATTTTCCATTAGTATTAGGGTCATAGACAAAAAATTCACCGAATCAAGCTTTGGTCCTTGTTAAGAATGTTCAGTTGCCTTTTGTCCATATCGTAAGGTACTAGTGCCTTCAGATCGAGGACAAATACGGGGTCATAGGCGATCAAGACGGAAGCAAGAGTCAATACCAAGAAAGCTGTCCTCATTCTGAAGAAAAGATAAGCGCCATCAATTCATTTATAACTTTTCCCTGAAGTTAGTAATGGACTGTCGACGTAAAATTAATGCATAGTAGATGTATTTATACCCCTGATTACCTTTCAAACTATAAAATGAGCAGAATAGATTAGCTAATCAGTCGATTAAATCGATCAGTGATCAATGGAGGTTTCCAAACATTACCGATTTATTGAGAAGTCAGGATGAGAAAAAGTATTCAAATTGAATAATGGTTAAACAGGCAATTTAGCTGCCCTTTCAACAGTAACATCTTGCTTATATACACATCTTGGAGAGTAAATGTCTGCTGAACAATGAATGACGTAGGCGTTTGTTAGCAGTTAAAAAACAATGCCTTGTTAAACAAGCTGATGGAAAATATACTTTTTATTTCTAAAATTTTAGGTAATCCATGTACCACTGCACATTCTCACGTGTTCCCGTGTTGGGGTCAACGCGTTTTTCGTTGATTTTCCACTGATCTTTGCTTCTACCATTGTTTGGAAGTAAATCACCTGCTCTGTTGCTAAATACGCTAAAAATCTATAACAGTTGAAATTGAAGCGACACATGCGACCAAAAAGGTTGATCCAGCCTTCAGTTACACGAGCACACACAGTTCCAAAGTGCGTAACTTATCCGTGCATTGCGCTTTTGACGATGGGTTAAACATTATGTCATGATTTAATGCAAAACGTAAATTGAATGTTGAAACCCTAGAGTTACTAAAGGACAATGCCATTTTGTTACAGGAAACTGGGAAA